CCCTCTTTCAGCTCTCCCTATCTACTTCCTCTCCTCACCCCAAGCTCTAACCCATATTCCTTTCTGTGTAATCAATAGTTCTTATCACTGAAGCTTTGCGAGTGTGCACTGTGTGTCTGTACCTGTGTGTGTGTGCCAACCACTTCTTGGTATCCATCAGCCCAATATCTCCTCTCCTCTCAAGCCTTTATCTTTTCTCTCTTTCTCTGGGAAGTAACTCAGCACCCATTTAAAAGCTCTGAAACAACACTCTCGCACAACTATAAATAAAACCTTTAAATCCATTACACTAAATGGATGCATGATGTGGGTATATATTCTGCTCCTATATTCTGCTCGCCTGTGTGACTATCTTTCAGCTCATCTGTGTTGGTTTAGAATACCAATTATGTATGAATGGTTGTTATGGAGAAAAGTATTTTTTTTAAGTTGAGACCTCACTCTGCTGTTTTAGAAGTAAATCTGTTTTTTAGAAGGGGATATATAATGAATGATACCCTCCAAGGTGGACATTACACAGCTTTAAGTCAGCATAGGAAAAGGACATGGCATTGAAAGAACAAAAGAGACACCTGCCAGCCAGTCAGAATAAAAGATTCTCAGTGGCCGAGCTGTAAAAGTGAATAAGTAATGAAATCACGACTCTTTCTTCACTCTCTCCTTTATTCCTGCTTGATAATATGGTGGATTTTTACAGTATCCACCAGCCAGGGAGTTGCCCTCAATGGGCTGTAAGATGAATCTCTGAACCATACTACTGAGTATTTGATTTATACTTCCACATTAAAAAATAAAGGTCCACTTCCAGGGATATTCCATTACATAACTGAACAGAGTCATCTCGCCTACCCACTCCTCTTTATAGCTTCTTACCAAGTAGCCACTTGACATGGTAGCTACTATATGTATTTCATCTGCCAACTAGGGCTGATTGCCTTTATTCATTTAGTGTTTAGGCAGTAGATGTTTTGTTTATTTTGAACAGGGGGGACAGACCCCCTAGTGGCGCTTCATGTTACTACTTTTAATAATTGCCACAGTCTCGTAACATATGATGAAAAATACTGGTCTTGATCTGCCCATAATGAACATGTAAGAGTCCATCCTTCTAAGAGCTGTGTTTTCACTGTCTAATTTTCTCATCTTAGAATAAGTCATGTGAAATTATTCTTCTCAGACTCACTTATTTCTCCAACTGTTGCCTCTCATCTCTCCCCTGTGTGTGTCTCACTCAAGTTGTAATGCTTATCGGAATCCACAGATTTGATTGGCTGAGTGGTATCATGTGACGTGATTTAATGCCTGTGGGAGTTTCCTGGCTAAATCGGTGCTACAAATGTTGCATTGTCAAAATGTATTTATTGGTCATAGGTCCGGGTATAGATCGGTTGGTGTCTGGGTCTGGACCTGGGGGGTGGAGAGGGATGGCAGGTTAAAGAGTGGATGGATTTTGGTTAGTTCTTCAGTAAGGGAGATGGCGTGCACCCTCGTCCCCCCTGAAATTGCCTATTTTGTTGAGAAATCAGGGAGATAAATGCATTTATTTAAATACTGGCATTGTTGAAAATTCATACTCCTGTTCTGACAGTATTGATCTGTAGCTTATCCTGACCTCTGATCTCCTGAAGAGAGGGTGGGTAGGGGTTAGAATATTACCCCACTGCAGCCAGTAGAGTAGCATATTTACTATCATTTTTGATGACAGCAATCCAGTGGGTGGGTGTCACATTCTGCTTGTTATGTTATGTCACTGTTTCACCCACCTGAGCCACAACATACATCATTACACTGTAACACAAAGAGGATTACAGCAAAACAATTGAATCCATTTCAATCAATGGCAGTCTGACTCTGTCAGCCCCCTTAGTTACTGTCGCCATGCCCATCAAGCTCTCTGTTTACATTTAGAGTGTATAATGGAGTTATTTTGGCCTAACATAATCCTGTTTAGCTGCTTAGCTTACATCCTGTTCGGATTTTCAAAAAGTATGTTTTCACTTTTAAAGTTACAAGAGAAAAGGCTTTTAAAATTAGGATTAAGAGCGTTTTCACATTTTGTACGATGGATTCATACCGTGCTTGAGTAAGATCGCCTCCCCCTTCTCCACTCCCCCACCGCTTGGCTTTCACATCAGTAATGTTGTTACGTACGGGGTACACATCATCTGTGTGGCAATTGTGTATTTTGTCGCTACAGTACAGAAAGAGCACCAATCACAATATCCCAAGCTCGTATGACATAGTCAACCTTCACGTCGTTATGGCTACTGTTGTTCATTGTTAGAAACTATGTCAAGAATTCAAATAAACACAAGAAGTTTGTGCTCCTAAAAAAAAAAAAAAAAGGGATCAGCACTCAGTGAATAATCCTCCTAAGCCCTACGATAAGCTATTATGGCAAGGCTTAACTATACAGACCCGTGAGCAGTGATAACTAACATGTCTTTGGGGTCATCAGGTGGGAACCTCCTTTCACCGGTGTTTCGTCTAGTTAGTCCCACGACACCTCCAGGAGGCTAGACAGTGATCTCTGGCGTCCCAGAGACACTCCCCTAATGCCAGGTCTCACTGCTCCCCACACTAACCAAACAGGAACCTTACCTATACTACCACAGAGGAGGTAGACCCAGGGAAGGAAGCCTTGTTAGGCTATCACACTCCCCTGCCGGGTTAGGCTGTACAGTCTACCTCCCCAAGACGAGCCCTCACAACAATGACACCTCCAGGAGGCTGGACAGTGATCTCAGCCCAAACAGCACTGCCACCTTCATCCAAGCCCAGGCTACGTTTATGCGAGCTCCAGGCAGAAGCAATGCTGATACTACCTTTACTAGCACATTCACCATACTCTATTTCACACGCTACATAGCATAACTACAATGTAAGCTAAAGTTAAAGGAGATAAATGAACTCACAGGATCAGCAAACACACTCACTTTGCAGCATGGTCTCAAACAAAATGGATTCAAATAGGCCACTCCCACACTTAAATAACCTTCCTCTTCCTGGATTTCCTTCTTACTTACACATGGCTTTCTCAGCCCAAGCAGCACTGCCATCTTCAACCAAACCCAGGCTCCATACATGCGAGCTCCAGGCAGAAGCAATGCTGATACTAGCTTTCCTGTCACATTCACCATACTCTATTTCACACACTACATAGCATAACTACAATATAAGCTAAAGTTAAAGGAGCTAACTGGACTTACAGGATCAGCAATCACACTCACCTTGCCGCATGGCCTCAAACAAAATGGATTCCAATAGGCCACTCCCACACTTAAATACTTCCTCTTCCTGGATTTCTCCTGACAGGAAGTGGATCTCTCCACCTGATCTCAAGGAGTTATGTGCCCTGCTTAGTAGTTCCCCCTGCTGGCCCCCAGCTGACATTATTTCTTCTGTAATAGATAAACTGGCTGCATTTAATTGCTTCATCTGACATTTCCCTCACTGTCTTCCTCAAATTCTGTCCCCGCACTCCGAGTTCCCCCAGGAGTGAGACAGTTGATCTTGCTATGAATCCCCTACACCCCGCTTCCACTGGACAAATCCTAGTCTTCCATCCTCGCTGCTCAGCTTCTGCTCCTAAGTCTGCATATCTAAGCTTTTTTCTTTCATAGGCTTCTTCCACTGAGTCTTCCCAAGGAACTGTCAGCTCAATGAAATAAACTATCTGTTGACTCACTGACCACAACACTAAGTCAGGCCTCTGCCTGGTACAGACTATTTCCTGAGGAACAACAAGCTTTCCCCCTAGAGAACAACTCTCTCGTCTGCCTTTCTTCTTTATCACCCATGGCCATGAAGTTCAGAGGTTGAGATTGTGCATGCACAGATTTTGCAGTGCTGAGAAATGCCTTTGCTACTCTACTTGCCAACTCCTACTGGCTTTAAATAGCTGTAATCTCCATGTTTGGTATGGTTAGTGTTCACACCTGATCCCAACTGAAACTTAGTACACATGAACCATACTCGAGACCACCTTTTCAAGTGGACTCGGGCATAGGTTGATGTACTGCGTGCAAATGAACTGGACTTGGTCAAGTGTGCTTGGATCCAGGCCTGGATCCCTAACGTAAGAACCTCCTAACTGAGAAATGTGGTAAAAGCATCAATATCTTGGGTAATGTCTTGGGGTTGCTGGAGTGTAAACATTCCCAAATCTAATTAAGAGCTGGACACTAACCTTAGCCTAAATTTTAGCAGGGTCTTAAAAAGTCTTTAAGTTTATAATTTAATTTTATAGATATTAAGCCTTAAAAGATTTGTGAGATCTTAATTGCCACAAACATTTCATCTAACTTTAACAATCCATCTTTCATTTTCTTTTTGTCAGAATGGGTCAAACTTTCCTGCGTGAAAGTCCACATTTTTAATTTTACAAATCTTTAAACCTGCCACTGAACCTAATACTGTATTTTTAATTTATACTTGCACCTGCCTGTTGGCAAAATGTAGATTAACCTGACTCACTCTACCAAACATATTTCTACATAGAACCTACCTCTGCATTGAACCACCGGCTGTACTTATCTTTATACTTTACTGAAAAATAAAGGTCTTATAGGCATTAAATTTAAGTGTCTGATACCTGTAGCCTAGTAGCCTATGGGACCGACTACTACACAATGTGAAAACCTGTATCCCAGAACACTAGTTAATTAATGATGTCCTCCTTGGCCTTGAAACACTTTCTACTGTCGATAATAAGCTAGTTAGCCAAACCTGAAAATGCTCGCAAATGACATAGGCAGATAATCACAATTAATCCATTCCCTGTACTTTTGCCTATGTGTTTTAGTGTAGGAAAGGCTAAAAAAGACATGATCCCCAAACACTTGAAATGCAGAGTGTCTCTCTCACTACAGCCTCATGTACACCACTACGGCATGTAGAGAAATCCAAAGCTTGGCAGGCTTACCATGGCTTGTTACAGTAGCTAAATTAGAAGTAGATTGCTGTTGATTTACAATCTGTGTCTGTCTTTGTGTGTGCAGCTACCTAGACAGCCTAGATCGGATTGGTGCGGCAGACTACCAGCCCACAGAGCAGGACATCCTGAGGACCCGAGTGAAGACCACAGGCATCGTCGAGACACACTTTACCTTCAAAAACCTTCACTTCAGGTGAGTGTTAACTCACAACAGTGACATATCTTGCACTGTCACTAGTGCTGCTTTTTGCTCATGTGTCTGTCTGCTCCTCTTATCCTTGCATACAGTTGGAACTCCAGGCTGTAATCAATAAGATAAACTGCTTAAACAAGTGTCCAAGTGTCTACCGTATATTTATGATTGTCTGTCATTTTAATGAGATCTTATTCAATTAGAGCAAGGAGCTGTGGGAATGATGACAGAGAGGAGGGGCGTGTTGGGATGGTAGAAGGAGGAGAAGACAGAGAGAAAAGGGGAGGAGGCTTTTTCTGACCTCTAATTTAATTACCATATTTCTGCCCCTCTTGTGTGCAAGTGCGCGCATGCACACACACACATACACGCACACACATACACACACACACACACACACACACACACACATAAAAGTATTGATAGGCACACAGAGCGGAAAGGTTAATAAACTGTAGACACCAATTATTTTTCTGGATGGATGCACCATCACACTTCAACTGATGTTTGTTTCACAGACTGTGCCAAACTTTCTCATATAAACACACGCTTTATTTATTGTGTGTGCAGATACATAGACACACAATCAGTTTAGACATGCAAAAAATTTTTGGTTGTGCTGAATGATGCTTTCTACTGTTACTCTTGCCGTTGAGTAGGCGGCATGCTGGGTGTGTTTTGTTGAGAAGTCTAAATATTGTCAGCTCAATTGCTATTACTGGCAGTCAGGCAGTGTGTGGGAGACTACAGTGTTCCTGTACTGGGTGTAACCCATCAACCTACCTACCATTATACCAGTCACATGTAGAACTGGGCTCACTTCGCTTTGGATTCACTCCTCTCTGGTAGCGGCAAGAGTAACAGTAGAAAACGTACTACAAAAGGAAACCAGAAAGCTTTCACTACCAAAGTCATACACACAGTATGCAGATATCTGTTTACAGAGATTAGACATGACAAGACAGTGAATTGCGGTCTTTCCACTTTTCCCTTTCTATGGAGAACAAAACTTAAGATCTGTAGGGAGCCAGCATTCACAGACCAGCAGCTCCTGTCTGAACATCCCATATCTTAAAAATGGTTAACATTGTCTGATTGAGCCAGCATGATGACAGATGCAGAGGAGAGACTGGAGAATTATTGTCAGTATCTGAAATGGGCTCAAAAAAGTCTTTATACAGCTAAAGAAAAGGAAAAATCTCAGATGACCAGCATGTATAGCAGTGGTTACGCTCTCTTACATTCAACGCATTTCATACACAGTGATACCACACATCAATTAAGGATGGGCATCAGTACTTGATTTAGGCGTCAGTATTTGTACAACCTATAGAATAATCGCCATCCAACCCCGCATATCAGGTAAAATCTTATGTCACTGTAGAGCTGCGCACAGTGTCTTACTTCACTCAGAGCCTCCTTGCCCCACTTGGCCACATGCAGAGACACAGTGACAGGGCCAACTGTTAAAGTCACACAGCACACAATACCTTACATTTCTTAACAGGTTTAATGACAGAGTCCAGCCATTTTGATGTCAGTGTGAGTTTGCTGGGACCATTTAATGGCTAGATGTCAGATGCTAGCTGCTGCTGCTGTGTTAACTCTTGCTAACACCAGAGGAGACCGTCCTTCAGCAAAGCATCTAACATACGTAATGGCAGCAACAGAAAGTTTACTGATTTTTCTTATGTGAACTTGAATTCATGGTTAAATAGGTTCATTTAAGCCTGGTTGTTTAATAAATGAATTTCAAGTTGCACTAGTTTTCTGTTGTTGACCAATTATTACGTTTAGTGTTTTGCAAATCTTCAAGTACTCTATAATAATTAAATGCAAGTATATGAATATAGACATTACTTAAAATCCCCATCCCTAACATAGAGACAGTGATACCACACATTGACGCATCCAAAGGATAAAATTTACAATAAGATGAAAACTGCCAGTTTTAATTTCTCTCTTCGGGCTCTAATGTTTCGAGAGACTGACTGAGCTTTTCAAACACAGAGGCTCATGGAGCATACACTTGGGTGTAGAAACAATAAGTCAGCTTTTGACAATATCAGATCATTGCAAGAAATAAAACAGCTTTATGGACTAGGCAGGGGGCCAGAATCGTCACGACATGAAAGTAATGTACCACTGCTGGAGTAAAGAGCCAGTTAAAAAAAATAAAAATAAAAACTGAAACATGTCCAGTTTATAATTGGACCCACAAACTGATCTCAACTGAGAATGCTAAAGAAGCTGCCAGGCTTCAGAAGCCATTGTAATATGTGTTATGTGTGTGAGTGTGTATGTTTATTGATGTCTGTCTCTCTGTCCTCCAGGCTGTTTGATGTGGGAGGTCAGCGGTCGGAGAGGAAGAAGTGGATCCACTGTTTTGAGGATGTCACAGCTATCATTTTCTGTGTGGCGCTCAGCGGTTACGACCAGGTGCTGCACGAGGACGAGACCACGGTAAGGACAGATGTTCACATTTGTATGAACCCTCTTACTCTGTCTCTCTATCCCTGTCTCACTGATGTGTTTTCTCTGTCACTTCGTGGCCTTATGACCCATTTCTAAATACTGGAACTGACATTTAAACTCAACTATATCAAATAGATCAGTAGTGTTATTTTCCACTGTCAGGATGTGGGACAGCATGGGTCATAGTCCCTTAATACATTCTGACACAGGCTATATAACAGGTAGTATAAAGATAGAGTATACACTTGTTCTATATGTAGAAACGATGTTTAAGCTGACATTAAACCCACAGCCTGTGTAAGAGCTTGAGACAGGTAGGGATAAATGTCTGTGGTGCACTTTGATGAGCTGCTAAATAAATGAAGGCATGAAAAGTCCTAAAATGTTTATATTTCATATATAAATGTTTCAGAATGTTTTAAGAATAACCAGCACACGCAGACTTATCAGCTTTCTTTTTGCCATTTCGTTAATCTAAATATCTGGTGTTATTTAATAATACTGAAGCATCATACTTTCGTACAACCACAACATAATGTGAATTTTGATGGAATTCCACGGTGTTTCCTCTGGATCTCCATTTGGTATGTCATCGTCCGACATGTAAATAAATCAACGGTATACCGTGGACTTGTTTGTTTAACCAAACGCTTACTCCAGCAGTGGTCCATCTCTGGTGAACACACTGCTGGATGGTTTCAATGCAAACGTACAAGGGGAGACTGTGTGTGTGAGTTATTTTTCTCTATGCAAATCATTCCTCCCTGCATTGACACTGTAAACCCAGTTGCATTCTTGCCAAAGCAAATGACCTGTTTTAAATAATGGGAAGGACAGTCCTTTTTTACATACATAGGTTGCTTCAAAAGCTAATTATTTTGACTGTAGATTCTGAGATATACAGGAAGTAAAGAATCCGGGATCCATTATTTTTCATACCTTCTTACCTTCCTGACTTTTCACTGGGGTATCACCAGCTCTGGTTTGGTGGAAATAAAGCCTTAATTCACTAAGTTAGATGAGAAAATATGTTGTAGCCATTGCTAGCTAGCTTTTTACTTGTCCTTTAAGGTTATCCCCACCACTCACAGTCTCTATGTTTCCCAGCTTTACTGAATGTTCCATCAGTAAAGACTGACCTCTGGTGGTGCTTGCTGTGCATTACAATACAGGCTTCAATACAGCATATCTGTATTAGTTCAATAGAAAGAGGAACATCTGTATTTTTGACAGTATAGAAAATCACGCTGTATATACACTGCTATACCATAATACTTTGTTATGGCCCAAGCATAGTAGAAATTGTATATGAAGTATTCGAGATGGCTGTATTCACTTTTCTTACTATCAAGAAAATTTGGAGTTGGGCACTAAAATAAAAATGACACATAAATATAATAAGATTTGGAAAATCAACAAAAGACCACACCCTGCCATGTGGCTGTAAAGATGATGTATGCAACCTAAAACAAATAAGCTGATTAGAATGCACGGTGCTCACACTGCTATTTATAAAGCCTGAAGTGTATCCTCAGAGAATTCCAGGCTGGGAAATAGTGCTCAGTAGCGGCTCTATTTATGCAGATGTCATCAAGGCTCCCTCTGAGCTGGGAGCACCAGAAGAACGTCAGATGAAGAGAGGAAATATCCATTATAAAACACACTCACAAACAGCTTCTAATATGTGTGCTGTATATCTGAGCCCATTTAATTGGTGCATAGTGTTTTAGAAATCTATCCAAATGTAGGAAATGTAAGGTCATGGTGATATTTGAGCGCAGCTGCTGTCGTGTTTGATAGCAGAAAATGTCACTACTATATACAACATTAATAGTAAACATAATTTCCGTCCCTCAGCATCAAGGAGCATAAGCATATATCTGATCTCACTATTGTCGGTGAGGAATCCATTGTAAAAGAGACAAAATACCATTTTTTCCTCTGACAATGCCTCAGATGTTACCATGATATTGCAGCCACTTTTATCTTTCCATCAACACAGCCCACAGCTAAAATACAAGTTAGAAAAATACAAGGCAATTTGTGGCAAAATGGGTGTACCAAAAAACAAAATTACCCATCACAGCAATTACAAACAAAAGTCAAGGGGACTGCATTAATAGCAGGTCTGTTACATATTTTTTCATCTGTGAGACAGTGTTCTGATTAACATTGTGTGTTATTATTGATGAGCATACAGTACCGTGGGAGTTATAATATAATTACCAGGCAAATAACAATGTTTTTTGGTGAGTGCCCACATCCTCCGTCAGCTCAGCTACCAGACACAATCACAGTGTGTGATTGAAGAAAGTTGTGTGCAGTAAAAAAAAATATTCTACAATCAGACAGCAGAGATAACACCCCTTCCTCAGTAATGGGAGTGATAAGGTAATACATATTAAGGATAGACCGATACATCGGCCGGCCGATATATCGGGCAAATATTGAGCCGATACGCGCGTGGGTTCGCGGATTTATTTTCCCTGGCATGATTTACAGACAGGCATCCACGGGCAGCTCTGTGTTGCCGGAAGACCCTGCAGCATACATGCAGCGAATCCTACTGTGTACAGTAGTTGTTGTTTTATTTATGCTTCAGCTTAAATATTTGTTTATTCTATAAAGACATTACTGGAAGATTTAAGAGCACTGAACTCTTTTTTTTTTTTATTTGAATGTATAATAATAATAATAATACTATTCTACCTGTTCTACCTCAACTTTCCATCTTGTTTTAGTATTTTTTACTGTTCAATAAATGTTTCTTATTTTAAACTTGAGACCTGCAATATTTGTTATCATGGTGTCATTTTTTTGATGTAAATTGAGGGAGCAAAAGCAGTATCGGCCCCAAATATCGGCTCAAGAAAATCGGCAGTCCATAATTGGTTATCGGCTAAGGGTGATGGAAAAAAATCGGTATTGGCATCGGCCCTAAAAAATCCATATCGGTCTATCCCTGATACATATATCCCTTTTGGGCAGTTCATTACAATCACTGATGTGCGCTGAGTCTAATTAGAATGCCATCTTTTATTTCCCATAATACTAATCCTGCCTGGACAGGAATTAAGAGTATCTGCAAGTGGATTTCTCCTTTTGCATCTTAAATTCTGAGTATACCAGGGTCTTACCAAGGACAATAACGCATTCACAATGCATACTGTTTGTTTTATCATTATTATTGGGCCTATTTAAAGAGCATTATTTTACATAAACCACAGGCTTCATACTGTATGTCACAATGTTTTGCATTCCTAATGGCCATTTCCAGTATGTCAAGTCATGTGTCACAGTCTTGCCATAGATGGATGAAAGAGGTTATTCCGAAGTTCATGTGACTGCTTGCATATGCAGTGTAGTCAGAGAAATAGAAATCATAGATGGTGAGATAAACATTTGTATTTTTTTCCTCAAGTTAAACAAAGAATTGTATTCCTGAATCAAATTATTGATTTAACAGTACTTTGAACATATGAAGACAGTAACCCTAACTAACAAATGGACTTTTCCTTGGTTGTTCACTCATTTCGGGGTTTCTGAAGTATGATGGAAAGCCAGTAAGGATACTATAGCATAAAGTTATTGATTATTATATCACATTTTTTACTGCTTTCCAGCAGTATATAACAATGTTTTATAATAATATAATGAATTGAATTAGTTTAAGTGGATGGATGTATTAAACAATAAAGTATTGAAGACTTGTTGAAATTAAAGTGAAAGCCTTTTTTATACCTTGGAGGGTTTTGTCAGGAAACTGAATTTAGTGCTTTTTAAAACCCGCAGACATCCTGTCATTTTCTGTCATTTGCAGCACCTGTATGGCATCCTATTGTATTCTGGGTTTAATGAGGTGACAGAACAGGCTGTCTGTTACTTTTGTGTGGTATTTTGTTCTTTTGAGAGGAAGATAAGAAGTAAAAGACCACCTGACTGATCCCGCACTAAAGGCTTTCACTGTATTTACATGAACATCTAAGTGCTGCCTGGACACAAACCCACGTACATGCAGTACAACACGTACTACTTTCGCTTTGTAATTCCCTTCTTTCTATTGAAGTACTGCTTGCATTGTGTTTTTGTGTCTCTCCTTGTCTTGTTTCTGTGAAAACACACAGACAAACCCGCACAGACTATATAATGATAACTGCTCTAAGTGAACACTGTCTGGATAAATTCCCATCCTCCCGCCTCTAAACCCTTTCTTTTCAGCACTAGGTGTGTGTACTGTATGTGTGTTTGGGGGTGTCACAAAGGATGTGGGAAGTGGGTGGGTGAGCGGGTCCCTTGCATTTTCTGTTCCTGCTCTAAGCTCCGCCCTGCAGCACCTCTGGCTCCTTCCACTCCTCTTGTCACTCTCGCCATCGACTGTCCTCTCTAACCAATCAGCAGTCAGATCTTCTGCAGATGCTCCTCCCACAGACAGGTATGAAACCTCCTGATAGGTTGGTACACTTACCATGAGTTGAAAGCAGTGCCTCTCTGTTAGTGAGCCGAGGAATTGAATTATCCTTGTGTGAGTTGTATGTGTATCTTTGCACAGCTTTTTTTTTTTTTTTTCAGTTCATCTAATACTTTATTGCATCCTTTCCATCTATCTGTTTATCTATCTATCTATCTGCCCATCTAATCATTTTGTTATTCGCTATTTCTCTACATTATTGTACTAACTATTTAAACAACCTCTCTTCTGTCATCCTGTTGTATGTGAGGATGTATTGTAGGGATGCACAGATTGTGAAATGCTGGGCTGATACCAATGTTTAAAAAAACAATTTGGCCAATTACCGATATCGATGTTTTTGTTGTTGTCATTCTTGTTGTTTATTTTATTTTTGTTGTTATTTATTAAGATTATAAAGTAAGATTATAAAATAAATTATCTTTGAACGAGCCAAAGTCATCATCATACAAATTTATGAAACAACTTTTGATCAAGCAAAGGCATTGTAACGCATCAATATGTAACTCAATGCAACATTTGTTAGCTGTTAGTTAGTGTTAGATGCTAACAGCTAACATTAACTAGCTCTCCTCCTGCCGATGTCATGGATGATGAAGGTTTGTCGTTCACAATGTAGCATTATCAGGGACAAAAGGGGTGCGTCCCCTGACACATCAAGAGTGAGTTTACTGTGTCCTTTCGTCCCAATGGCGCCCCAGGGAAGATCTCTTTTCATCCCACACACATTTTCTATTGTCCCCGAGACAACAGGACGTTAGTTCCGCACCCTGATTTTTAGCCTACACACAACTGTTGTGAGGCAACAGAAAAAACATCAACCATCCAGCCAATAGGCCGATGGCAGTCAACAATGTGAATATTAGCCAGTACCTATTTTTGGACGAGAAATCGGTGCATCCCTACTGCATTGCCTAAACCATCAATGATATGCCACATTTCTAGTTTCCCCTGTTCTGATTGGTTGATGGACCTCGTCAGTCACCTTGTTTTCCCTCCCCTGTCCTTAACTAGGCAATAAGGGATCATAATCAGAGAGAAACTGCTTTCAACTCATTCTCAATAAGAATCAGAGTTTATATGTTTTCATCATTAAGCACTTTTATATGCAGTGTGGGTTATTTCTTGACTGAGTTTTTTGTTTTGCATGAGCCCTCAAAAGTAATGCCAACATTTGATTTGCTTTTCAACCTCTACAGATTTCATTAGCAAACAGAGCAGTGGATTCTGGTGAGAATTAGTCAAGGTAGACTGGTTTAAGAAGCACTTTTGCTAATCAAGCATTCTACCAGTGCTAACACCTCAATCTAGAGAACCAAAAACCCTGTGATCAACTAACATGAGAAAGTGTCTAATGATGAAAAACAAAATAAACACTAAAATTGATTTTATCTTTTATTTGTCAGTCATAGTTTTTGAAAGCTCTCATGCTTTTTTTAGCTGCATTTCAGATTCTAATCTAACAGTGTTTACATCCATGCCTTTAATCTTGTTTCTAATATAGCTTTTACTCTTTATATACCCTGTGGAGTTTACATTGTAAACACTAGTTTTTATTTTGTTTACACTGAATGTTTCTTATTAAACGCATTGTGTGTATTCAGCCTAAGAATGGTGTTTCATTTTATACACCAGGAAACATTTGCAAAGATAATTTTAATGCGTATTGTTTACATCTACATTGTTTTTGTCTTCTCCTCCTTCACTGGTGCACTGCAACCTTCATAATTTAACACCTCCACGAACTGTTGCTGCCTTCTGCAGATTACATAAACCTCTGCTCACAGTGAGCAGGTTATATCCTCAAGCACATGCTGCAGAATACCAGATACACTCAAAACGGAGACTTTCTTTTCAAAGCATTGCTCCGCAGTGCCTCTTGTGGTCAGAAACTCCACAGGGTCCCTTTAAGCTATCATTTATTCATGTTTACATACTACTGTTAAAGTAGGCAGTAGCTCACAGCTTTAAAGCTAGTAGTGCATGGCTTTGTTTAACACGGCTGCAACATCCAGCTTACTAATATATTTCTTTTACTTATGTGTTGATACACACATGCACACACACAGAAATACACACTCAACTTGCAGCAGGAAATGCTGTGTTCATAGACAAGAGGAACTCCTCAGTACTTCTGTTCTGCTTTCTCATTTTTTATTTACTCAGTTCCTCGTTGTGTTTCATTGGCGTGTGTGTGCAGTATGTGTGTCCTTGATTTGACTGCTTGTGTGCATGTGTGCGCATGTGTTTTCTGAACACATTTGCACAAATTCTGTTTGTCTGGTTGGTTTTCTGTATGTGTGTGCATTCATATACTATGGTGATGCAGATGAGTGTGTTTTAAAGCCTGTTTAACTCCTGCTAATGTCTCTTCTACAGAACCGCATGCACGAGTCTCTGAAGCTGTTTGATTCCATCTGTAACAACAAGTGGTTTAAGGACACCTCCATCATCCTCTTTCTGAACAAGAAGGACCTCTTTGAAAGCAAGATTGTCAAGTCACCACTGTCCATCTGCTTCCCTGAGTACACTGGTACATATCCACCTACTTGACAGTGATACTTTATTTCTAGTTTGTACCATATACTTTATAATTGTATGGACACTGGGAGAATTGTGGCTGCTGAGGTAGAGCTTCCGCCACACAGTATTCACAAACATTTAAGAGTGGCTCTGAACATAAAAGGGGAAATCCAGCAGCATTGGTCACTGTTAAGAAAGATTTTATGCAATAACCTTTTTTTTTTAATGACGCTAAGGTTATTGTTGGTTTTGACAAGGATGGACAGGGTCAGGAATGAGTAGAAGGACAGCTCAAGGTAGACAGTTTAGAGACATCAGGAGACAAAGGAGAGATGCTGTGTATATCGGTAGAGGGATGCCAAAGATGGAGCTGCCAGGAAAGAGGAAAAGAACAGTTTTGTAGATGTGGCGAGGGGGAACATTCAGGTGGTTGGCATGGCGGAGGAAAATGTAGAGGACAGGAAGAGATGGAAACAGATGATCCACTGTAATGACCCCTGACATGAGGAGCCGCAAGAAAAAAAAACTTTTTAAAAAATACAAGTATTTCTTCAAATTGAAGTGTTTTGATCTGATCTCAGTGATCTGTGGATAGATCTACTCACTAGATAAAGTAATACATGCTCTCTGAGTCTAGACCGTACCTTCTCCAACAGCTTATTTCTTAGTTTTGCTTTCTCTTTAACATTATAGTTACCTCCTATTGATATTTACTTGCTAAGCACTGCCAGTACCAGCTGCCTCAACTAAGAAGAGCACAGACAGCCACATTAATGACCAGTTTAAGCTACCCAACAAGTAGGACCAGAGAACCAGTTTACACCTGGTTTTAACATGTGTTTCAGGGATCTGAACACAAGTGAACATCTAAGACACATCGCTGTTCACATCTTTGTCTATCATGCGTCTTCAGCTGACCGCTGTGCAGATTTCATTAGTGCCTATGTCACTATTGGCTAAAAGGTCATAGGGTCCTGTGCATAGTTGCTACGTCCACACTCTCACTAGCTGCTCACTAGTATCCTCACTAGTCACGTTAGCGGTTGTGTCGGTACAGCTGGGGATATAGCTGTCAGCAGAAGTAAACACGTCTGCTGTCATTGGGCAAAAGCATGAGCAGTCATGCAACACTTTCCAACTCATTGTAAAATGGGAAAGTTATAAAGAGTTAGAGTGCTGTCACTTAAACATTTGTATTTAGCACTGTCATCATGAATATTAATACAAGGTATAAACAGAGCCAGAGCAAACAAAGAAGAATCTGTGCACTAGTTTTGTTGACTTCCGTTACCTGTCAACATCAACAAACACAAACCAGCATATTGGTGTGTAGAATTTTCATTCAGTCCTCTTCTCTCGTCGATGCGACCGTTAGATTTACTATGAGATAGCCAGAGCCACTTAGCCACCTGAGGCCTGTACTACGTATCAGGATTTGAAGTAAGCAAGGTAACTGCAGGGTTAACTCTGGGTTTTTAGTACTACGAAGCTGTTTCTCTTTTTACCGGGATATATCACTGTGGTAACTTATGCTGAACAGCTAACCTGCTCCGGAGCACTTTAACTTCAGAGTATCGGATCACAGGCTGTCAACACTCTGACCTCTGACCAATCAGATCACTGAAGAAAAAAGTATCCATGGACAAAAGTGCAGAGTCTAAGGTATACAAGAGGAGCCTATATGCTGTTATAGGTCAGTAGATTCATTTAATATTTCCAGGGCTCTATTTGCACTGGTTCTAAAACAGAGCTTCTAACAAATGGAGAGATTGTTAACTCACTAAACACATGATTTTAGCACTATTTGAAATTAAAGTTTTCTTTAGTCCGCAGTGATAGTGCTGCTACTTTTACACTCTGATTCCATCACAGCAGCTCAAAATAACATGAGTCACCTGTGTGATGGGGACTAGGATAAAACAAATAACATTTTATTAGTAAAATAATCCACACATTTTTAATTGGCTCCCATTACTATAAATGCTACATTTCAGTCAGACAGACCTCATCAGTCTACAGTCTCTAACTACTTTTCCACCCTTTACGTCGTAGCAGAAAAAGTCTGATGTTACTTTAAAGTGTATTATGTGACATATTCAGAGTAGTTTCATCATCATCTGACTGAACAGCAAAAAATACTCCGTACTAATGTCACATAGGCCCATAGCTCAGTACTACCTGCACGTAATTTAGATCTCGGATGACGGTGAATTATTGGATAGAGTTTCCAGTGTTTCTAAATTTTCAGTTTTAAGATTACAGATTGGCGGGTTTTTTTTGGGCTCAGACAGTGGAACAAAACAAAGATGAGAGTCAAAGAAGTAAATAAGTGAAACAGTGAATGAAATCAGGCGTGTTACCAGGAGTCCAAAGGAGAGGAGCTTGAGTGTGCTGGATACAAGAGAAAATGAGCAGTAAGACAACACGGGCAAACAATAGAACGTGAGAAAGCCAGAGAGAGCAAGAGTGTGAGAAAATGAGAAAAAAAAATAGACAAAGCGAGACTGTGGGAAAGTAAGATGGAGAGAGACCAGAACAGCTAGACTGTGAGAAAGAGAGAATTAGGATTCCAAACCTGTCTCCTCTCCTCTTCTTCTCTTCTCTTCGTCCTTTTTACATGGCCAGACCATGTCCCTGTTCTGATGAAGTTGCCGCTGAAGCAGACAGACAAACCACAGTGCTGCTAATGGCCGAGAGCCAAGTAGATGTTAGTGACACTATGAGCAAAAATTACTCCAATCACTGAGATCGGACTCATTCCAAAAGTGTTATAACACATTAAAGCTCTTGATTGAATCCACTGCATGTCAAATGCCTGCATTACAAGCAGAACTAACTCTCACAGTTAATAATGGACTTGAACCAAAAGGGCATACAGTAGATTTACCACTGAATCAGTATACAGTATGAATAATGGTCCAATCCTTTTGGCTCTAGGATCTCATATTTCTCACAGTCTTGACTCTTGCTGTATACAATGATACATTGGCAGTTTTTAGAAACTGGCAGACTCTGCCAACAGCACCAAGACCTGACATTTTCCATCACATTTCATTTGTCAGTCTAAAATCACCTTTCCAATTGGTGTCTAAAAGTTGTCCATGTATCATATTTATTAAAGCTTGGCCAGCAGTAAGCACAGCCCACCGAACACCTCAGCAGAATGTGTGCTGAGCTGGAAAGTCAAAGGTTATGTTTTCATAAAGTATCAGAAAATTGTGCTGATATGGGAAATGCAGGACTGATATAAAGGTCCAGATGACAACAGCTTTTAAGCTTTCACCTGACTCCCACTGCATGTCATCTCTCTCTCTCTCTCTCTCTCTCTCTCTCTCTGCTTCTCTCCTCAGGTCCAGACACTTACTTAGAGGGAATAGACTACATCAAGGGTCAATACGAGACTAAGAACAAGTCACCCAGCAAAGAGGTTTACTCCCATGTGACCTGCGCTACAGACACCAACAACATCCAGTTTGTCTTTGATGCTGTCACTGATGTCATCATAGCAAATAATCTGCGGGGGTGCGGCCTATACTAATGATGCTGTTAAATGTTAGCCAACGGATGGAGGATGTTTGACTTGTGTTTAACTATACGGTACTAGTTAGGATATGTGGCCTTTATCACTGATGTCATCATATGATAGCCTGTCAAATAAGAGGTATGGGCTGTGTTTGTGATGTCACCGTACTGCTTTACCGTAAGGCTAGCCATTGGTCCAACTTGACTCTTAATTAATGAATTAATTGGTTGTGTGGTTTATTGGTGGGCTGAGACTACTTTTACTGTATTATTTTACTTCCTGCTTAAGAAGAACCAAATCCCAGTAACTTTGTGCCTTTAATTGTACCAAAACTCTACATCTTTTGTCAGTGTGCTGCAGAAATCATGCACAATACCTGCAGTGGACCCTTCTGGGATACAAGGCTCCTGAGATTTGTTTGTACATACAGTAGTGCCGTACTCAAAGAACTAGACTGATTGATAAGTAACTGCCGGGGGGGGGGGGGGGCAACAGTACTCCAAAAAACTGGTATAATGGGACTCACCCAAAGTGTTTTTAATCACTGTAGTTTGAATTTGAGATGTCACTCTTCTTTGCTTTAGACTTATGCCTTAGTTACATGAGGGGCAGTACGTTGTTTAACTACAGGGTCATGTTCAGTTCGTCAGAAAGATGTTCTCCAGATTTTATGTGCATGAGATATTAAAACTGTTGACAAGATTATGACCAAATGTTAAGTCATTAGAAAAAAACAACTTCTTTTTGTATATATTTGTCCAAAAAAGCTTTTCTGCACGCCTCCCTTGTTATTCTGCATGTTGGGTAATATGTTTTGTTTTCTGATGACAGTATCTGATGTATGCAATGTGCTGGGTAGTGTCTCACTAATGCTTTGTTGCACTAAACTGTGCTCTTTTAAAGGTAGACTATGCAGGAATTGTCGGCTAATATTGTAAATGGTATTGCTAGGGAAAGTGAAAGTGAGAGCCAAGTCCAGAGTCCCTCTTGTTTGCTATATTTACGTTTTTGGCATCCACAATTTTCATAGTTTCCTGTCAGATGTATGCTGCTTACAGTCTTGCACCTGGTGGCCTCCTTTTTATTAAGTCCTGACCTCACTGCGCGCTGTGCCCAGGAATGTCCAGAGAATGAAATGAGAAGAAAATTCAGGCAGAGGGCAGAGTCTCTGCAGATAAATACTCCACCACACAGTTCTAGTGGGTCAAAGTGATGATTGAAGATTACTTCTGTTTATACTTTGTTTTTTAGGAAAATCATGTATAGTTTTAATTATGGAGCTGCAAAATAATCAATATTTAATCAGTGGGACATTATGATTAAGTCATCATATGCATAAATACAGAGAAAAGGATGAAGCAGTCATATTGCCAAGTTTATAATAATTTCACAATGATATTTTCCTTTTTGCTTCATAGCAGTGGCTGAGCCTCCACCATATGATGTGAGAGAGGGCAGGGGAATAGTAGCAGTCACACAATCATTAAAAATATGTTATGCTATTAAAAAAAGAGAGATTTAAAAAAGTGATGAAATAACATTTCAGTATAAAAAGTTTGAAATATTTATTGAATAAGTTTACATTTTTTTGTATTTTATCCTAGTCATATGTTTCTCATCTAGTCATAATAATGTGTCACGTTATAATGTCTTATTCATTGGTTTAATACTGCTCATTTTGTAGTTCCATTCTGAACAGTGTGACGCCTTGCTTAACATAAGGATTTAAGAAGTAGGACCAATTAATAACACAGTGCTCGTTCATCTTGTCCTGCCCTCCACTGGCCTCAAAGGGTCAGCTTCCCTTCAGCAAAGCCTCGCTCACTGAAAACCTGTGTGAGGTTGAAGATTATCAGAGTGGACTGCTCCCGGTATTAAATGTAATTAGACCAAAGGTGATTCCCCTCATTAAATACATGTCACATGTTCTTCAGTCATTCTTAAGTCACATTTCTCTTTATTTTACTGTATTTTCAATTGATGGCACTTAGGTTGCCATTAGTTCAGATTTTAAAGGCCCAGTAGGATTTGAACATCTCTGACATTAACGACTCCCACTGGTGCTATCATAAGGACGCTGTGGCAACAGCCCCAATGAATGATTGCAGCAGTTTTGATAATGATGGTCTCATTTTTCTTCAAAAAGATTCAGATAATTTGAAAGATGCTATCATCACAGCATCACATACACATTGGGCTTTAAAGGGGAATGCCACCTAAATTCAGAATTCCATTATGTTATTACCATGTCCTTGGAAAATTCAACCAGTATTTGTGTCAATGAGCACTTCTCTTTTAGAGCCAAAAACCAAAGAAGTAAGTCTCAAACTTAGGATGTAATCGGGTATAAAGTCTGGAGCTGCTCCATAGACAATGAATGGGATTTTGTGGACCCATGTTTGTATTCTTTTTTATACCCATATGAGCTTTATTCTATTGTAGTGTTTTCAGGTCTAAAACAGAAAATGTACCCATATACTTAAAACATTCCCTTGGCTGCCCTCAGTGTCATCTGGAACATCTTTCACCTTCCCCTTTCAATAGAGCAGCTACACACTTTATACCCTATGACATTACACATTTGAGTTTGAGCGCTCTAACCTCTTTGTTTGGGAGAGACTTGTTCATGTTTACTTATGTCTGGACTGTCTAAGACCAAAGGAATATCATGTGTGGATTTTAAAATGGATGTAGTTCCCCTTTGAGAAGAAAGTAAAAAAAAAAAAAAAGAAAGAAATTAGAAAAAAGTGATTTATTTTCTATTTGGTGGTGTCATTTGACACAGCACAGACAGTTCAGCAATGTTGTTAAAAACCACGGAGCATTAGTCATGGTTTGAGCAATGGTTGTTATCATTTTGTTGAAAACTACCCAGCAGGGGTTCATACAGCAGCAGTGAGATTGTGTGTTTCTATGTTGCAGAGGAACAGTGTTATTAGTGTTTTGGCCTTGGGTGCATTTCATTTGGGAATACATTTGTTTTGGTCCCTGTAGAAGGATATAATTGAAAATGCATCTCTGATCTAAGATAAAAGAGACCAGCAGTATAGTTTATTTATTTCCCCTTTATCTTAAATGTAAATTCGTATTTAAATTTATAGGAAAGTAGTTGCTATTTTTTCCAGCCATCATTCTTCATCCCTGTGGATGTCACCTCTGGTCATATTTTAGGATTGATTTTCCCGGCTCTCATGTTGCAGCATTCATGGGTCTACTATAAAATCACTTTAAATGAAGAGCTTCAAGAGTTATCGTTCTGACTCACCCAGACTATTCCCAGATAATGCTTCAGAGGAGGCATTGATTTTATAGGGCCCTGGGGCCCAATCCAAAGTGGGGCTGCACAGTGTAATATCCCTACTGTCCACCTCTCTGCTTTAATAAGCCAGAGGTGAGCTCAGAAATACTGTGTGCTGGTGAGTACATATAGTCCTCTGGGACTACAATGTCAACCTTGTGACTATTGTTTTTGCCCCGATGTTACGCTTTCCGCTGAGTGAGTTCCATTTCTGCTAGATGGTAGTCGTCCCAGAGCTGCTGTAGGATTAAGGTTTGATGTGGTGCATGGCTTAGTTGAAATGACAAAGTGGAAAGTGTGCAATTTGTGGGAACGGTTCAAATTTGAGCCCCTGACATTAAAGCCAGAGTGTTGCATATAATACCAGGAAACACCATCAGCTCCTCCCTTCTGTCTTTGTAAGCAACAGTTTACAGCAGCATATAGAAACAGAGCTTTGTTTGTCTGTGGGACTGAGCTAAGTGTGTGTGAAGCTTTACTGCTATGAGTGCTCTCTGGCAAACAGAGGTAGAGAGCTTCTTTATTTATTCATGAGCTGGGCATTTGCTTCGTTCCACTCTTCCTTTCCACACTCAAACAGCGAGGGCACGTCTCCACCCACTGCTCAGAGCTGCAATTTTTTTTAGACAGGTAAATGACGTCATCGGCTCTTCCTACCACATCTGTGCCAACTTTTCCTAATTAGAGAGCTGCCTGAGGCTGTTGATCAGCCTGTGTCTGTGTGTGTGTGTGTGTGTGTGTGTGTGTGTGTGTGTGTGTGTGTGTCTTGTGTGCATTTGTGCCTGTTTACCTTTTGTATATAGTTACCTACATGTGTGTCTGTTGATAGTACAGGAAAGGTCAGTGTGTGTGTGGGTGTGTGTGTGTGTGTGTGTGAGAGAGAGAGAGAGAGACAACATCAGCCCATGGGGCGTTGTGGGGCAGTCAGTATCTGTGGATTAATTACCCAGAAGGCACCTGTCTACCCTTTCCACACACACAGGCCCTCAACACACACACACACAAACACACACAAACACACAGAAGACACAAACACACCCATGGGATGTCAAAATGTCACCTCACTTGCCCATGCCAAATAAAACCACCATTTTCAACCAGAGAGCCTCAGATGTTTTTTGGTTCTGTTGCCAAACATGAAGTCTGCTGTTATGCATGTTGGTCTTTAGGTTAATTTTGCTGCTCTTTGGTTAACTGGACTGCACAGGTCTGGTAGGAGTTAGCTAGCAGCAGCACTTATTCGACAGTACCGCTAGTAACAACACCCCAAACCAACAGCGTTGCATTGAAAACATTGTGCCCACCCTCCTGTACCCCTCAGGTTACTCTAAAATTTTGAGCCGCAAAGTATTGTTAACTGTGTTATAGGGCTGGGCGATAAATCGATTTTTTTGATTAATTTGAATTTGTAGTTTAGGCCGATTTGTTTTAATGAAAATCGAGTTTCTCTTTAAAATCCGCCACTGCCGCTCCCCGCTGGGCTCCTGTACTTCAGAGTGGGCTCACCCCTCACCCCCACACGCTTAATACACAAACAACATGGCAGCCGCGCCATGCGCGACACAGAGAGCAGAGGAGGATTTTAGACGCACATCGTGTAGGGACAGAAATGACATGCCGTTGTGTAAATAAGATAAATAAGTGTTAACAACGCCAAGCTGGCAGACCCCCGAACCGTAGTAAAGTGACCTCAGAAGACCATTAGCAAGGTATAGACCTGTTCTATAGGAAAGGTAACCTTAAATGACTTCTGTTGTGATCCAATATAATGGTAGGGGAAACACTGCCGTATGATAAGAAAGGGGTCCGGTGGAAAGCGATCACAGATGCAGTCGCAATGTATATTGCAAGAGATATGGTGCCCATATATAGGCTACTGTGGAAAAGCTGGGGTTTATTCACATGCTGAAAGTTTTGGACCCCAGGTATGTGCTACCAGACCACAATTTTTTTTTTTTTAAACTAGGAGGGGAAAAAATCGATTTAAATCGTGAATCAGATTTGTTGTGAAAAAATCGGAGATTTTTTTTTTTTTTTTTAGGCCATATTGCCCAGCCCTACTATGTTATTACTATTAGCTCTGTTAGTTCTATAAGCAATGTCAGCATGGCTAGTGGTGCTAACATGGATAATCATGTCGAAGGGGTTTTGCGACACAAAACAAGGCTGCATATTCACTGGGGCGACCTTAGGGAGACTGAAGGGTGGACCATGTTTCTCTTGCCACAGCCGCCTGCTAAGTAGCCCTAGTGAGTAAGCTTGCGCTGCTAATTACAAATAAGTGGCGCCGCTAGCTAGATCCCACCCAACCTGGGTGGTGCGCAGTGCAGAGCAACCAAGGCTAGCTACCAAAACAGACCAGAGCATGCAGCGGGCATTATGTTTCCACATGTTAACGTGACTAACTGACTCTGGCTAACTTTGTCATACATTTACATCACAAAACAAGAAAATACCACCACTTGTTATTGGATAGTGCTTTGAAAGCGGTGGTTAATCTCACGTAGTCAGGAGAGTAAAGGGAAAGGTCTCTTGATGTATTTACCTTAAATTTGCTTTTTTTTTTTTTTCCTATTAAAAATTAACCGTTTAGTTACCGGTAAATGGTTGTTGGGCTGTCAAAAGCCAAATCAACCAAAACTGACATTCCTAGCCCTAAAATGGTGTCAAAATATGTCCACATCAAAGATTTTTTTAATTAACTTTTTTACTTCATTTCCAACGTCTGTCTGTGGTTAAACTGTGCATAGAAAAACAGTTTTGTAATTTCCATAAAGCCAGACAACACTGACAAACAAATAAACATTGACATGCTGAGCATCTGTGCTAAATGCTTAGATTTGGGGGTTATTTTAAATGCACAAGACAGCAAAGATGAAACAAACTATTCTCATCATTTAACATTTGCATTGAAATAGAACCGTGCCCTCACTCAGTGACATTACAGGATCTTTCCATCTGCCTGAATGCCCTGTCACTGTAAATGTGTGTTTAATTCAGCATTTGTTGAATGAATATTTTTGTTGACCAACATCCTCACTTAATGCAAGGCGGGAGGCTGTGGAGACCACCCTTGCCTAATTTGTAATTTTTTTTTTTTTTGATACATTTATGTCCCTGTTTTTATGCCTGAAAGCCTAGAGAGCAGCCGGCAGTAGACATGAGCTGCAGAACAATGGGCTGTTGAAATTTTCATCCACACTAAGTTAGCAAGCTCCAATTCACATTCAGCTGAAAGGACATGCCTACATTTGTATTTGCCCTCAGGGTGGCAGTGGCAATATACTGTTCAAGTTTTGTCTTCCAACGTCTTTCATGCCTGTGTTTTCCTCGGGCAGCACACAGAACAGGATGTATCCATGTTTCTGTTGCACAGAGACTTCAGTGGCATACAAGATGCACTTAAAGGCCCATAATTGTATTTTTACATACAGTATTGAAATCACCTAAATATAACTTTGACATGCGAATATTTGTGCATCTTTACCCAGCCCCTGTGTTTTACCAGTGCAACACATTCTCACTCATGACCTGCAAATATGGCGGCTTAATCAGGGCCTCTGCACTTCAACTATTACACCCTAAATAACCGTCTAGCATCACTTTTAAATGCTCAGGGACAGCATGTCATCTTCCACTGGTTACATTCATAGTTTCTTTTCAAACTAGACTGACATGTTCACAGAAAACAAAGGTTTTCATTACCAAATCTACTTTAGCTTTGGGCAACAAAACCACTTGGTTAGGTTAAGGAAAAAACATCATGGTCTGGGTTAAAATAAGTATATTTGTCACATAAATTAACTAGGTTAGTGTTGATGGGTATGTCACAGAACATGTGTCATATGTCACATGATGAACTACTTAACGCAGTTTAAAAAACATGTTTTACACGGGACACAGATGGCACTCTCGTGAGTGAAAGTCTTGTATTTGTTTCACAGCCCAACACCCCTCCCTCCCCCATACAGATGCTCTCACTCCTCATACTACATCACTGCTGCAGATGGGTTTACGTTTGAGTTAGTCTCATACTAACATTAAAGGGTGCCTTGTGGGTTACTAGTTGACAGCAGGGGTTATTGAACAAGCTGCCACATTTGACATCCTGGGAATGAGAAAGGCCTGATAGAGGACATATACTGCAGTAAATGGACCAAAACATGCCTATTGTGCTATTAGAAGTACACACAGCTACCATTTCTTTAACGTGAGTTTTGGTATAAAAGTGTGAAATCAAAATGGAGGAAAATAGAGAGAAGTGTGATTTAGGAATCTGTCTGTGCTTCATCCTTGATAAACTGAACTCTCATTTCATTGATGAGGGACAGACACATGATATGAGAATGCTGTAGTCCTGCAAGAGCCAAAAAAAAAGATTTCCTTTCATTGTATTTGTGCCTGAAACCTAAACCTCTCTCTCTCTAATAGCTGGTTTATAAGGGGAAGACAGAATTGATGCTTTCTCTGAGAGGAGCTATGAGCAGATCACGCTGTGTGTGTGTGTGTGTGTGTGTGTGTGTGTGTGTGTGTGTGTGTGTGTGCAATGGCATGTATATGTGTGTGTGTTTGTGCTTTTCACAGCAAGTTGGTACGCCTGATGAATTATCAACAACCAATGAGAAATTACATCAGCAGGCCAAGCTGAGAGGATAGTGGGTAGTGTAGTTTGTCCCAGCAATAAATAATAGATTCATAGGCTGTAGTGAACGAGAGATTTGTAGGTTATGTAGAGGAGGTTTATGGATACAGTCTCTTTTTTTAGGTGGCTGGCTTTGGTGTAATTAATAATACAGTCAGCATTTCATTCAGGTAGCAAAGGTCCTAGTTCATCTGGGCAGCAGATGGAGATATTAGCACCTTGTACCACTTAAAGCCTTAGCAACAATCTCTTATATCCCACAATGGCAGCCAAATGTTTTGACTGAACTTTGATCCCAAAGTTTAGTGCCAAATGTTTCTCATGTAAGAGTTAAATGAACTCCTGTAGTGTCTTTCTGCTGACTTATTTATGCTTCAAATTTAAGTAGAGTAGAGTTTTGCCTGTAAATGCTTTTAGGTCATTATAATATGTCCAATTCATAGAGTGTATGTAAAGATGGATGACATGACAGATCCCCAAAAGTGAAGCCGCGACATCTCAATCGCCCCCTGGTGGCTGGCTGCAGTATCGGTCATAATAAAGATTGCCCTCATTATGTTAGTGGAGAGGACACAGGCCAAACTAAAAACTCAAAGTACACGTCAAATACATTTTTCTGTCATTTAAGGTAGTTTTTATCATGCTGCTTTATGTTCAAGTGTTTGTTTTTCGTATAAGTTTGGTTTTAATTAGTTATTTGATGCTATAAAACAGGAATTTTACAACATGATTGACAACTGTGTGAGCCAGTTGTTGGGCTTGCATTCAGTGGCGCTGCTTGCGATTGGTTTGATGGGTGTATGCGTGGAAAACTTGTAATTTTAGCTTCACCTCTGTACAGTGGGGATAAGTGGAGATGCGTCGTACATCTTTATATACAGTCTGTGGTCCAGTTCTAATTCCATACAACGAGCACATAAGCCTCTGCAGAGCCAGGAAGATCCTGCTCTATTACTGGACTGGAAGAGGATTCAGGCAGTTGCATGGGACATATCATAATGAACTTGTGTAGAATTAAGGAGGCAGACTGTGAGCTGGTAAAAGTCCTCGCGCTCATCATGCTATTACCCATCATACCTTTACTGCTGCAGCTTTATTAGCCTTCATTTCTCTGACCCCTCTGTCAACCAACCAACACCTGTCTGTACTTTCCAAATCACCTACAGCAAAATCTGTGTGTGTGTGTGTGTGTGTGTGTGTGTGTGTGTGTGTGTGTGTGTGGTGTATTTTACTGAGCACTGTAGGTAAAATATATCTGCTGTATCTCCCTCACTGCTGTGATAATTTATTGAAAGTTGTATTTATACAGAAGAGAAATGACAATAAAGCATCACATGAGTAACTTGATATGTGTGTATTTTTTCCTGACCTAATTATTTTGTGTCTGCCCTGTGTCTATTTGCATTTCCAGGATATTTAAGTGGAAATACTGAGGATGTTTGTTGATGTTTTCTC